TTGTTGTTCCTAGAGTATTTAAAAGTAGAATGGGAGGCAGGGCCTTACATTTTCAGGCCCCTCTTCTATGGAGCCAGCATCCAGTTTGGATTCAAGAGACAGACACTATCTCTACTTTTAAGACTAGGTTTAAAACTTTCCTTTTAGCTAAAGCATATAGTTAGGGCTGGACCAGGTGATCCTGAATCCTACCTTAGTTATGCTGCAATAGGTGAGTTTTTCGTTTTCAGTCACCTTTCTCATTCACTATGTGTTAACAGACCTCTCTGCATTCAAAACATTCAGGAAAAAAGGGAGCTTTTCCTTCCCACTGTCGCCAAAGTGCTTTCTTATAGGGGTTCATATGATTGTTGGGTTTTTGTCTGCATGTATTATTGTAGGGTCTACCTTACAATATAAGGCACCTTGAGGCGATTGTTGTTGTGATTTTGCGATGCATAAATAAAAAATAAATTAACAAAAAATGGAAACATCTGCTTCCACACCAGCAAGCAGGGAAGTGTCCTCAATCAGAGGACCAAAGAACGCTACTTGAAGACAAAGGTGACTGTACTGCAGAGGAGGACTTTATGACAACCATCTAAAGATAAAGATTTCACAGAACCACAGAAAATGCTAATCACTGCCCTTAGCCTTTTACCCAAATTATATTGTACGCTCTTATCTGACTTCGAAACAAACATCTATTATCAATAGTTATTTTATTGCCTATTGTAATATACAGTACTGGGAAAATGTTTGCTCTTCTTAATTTCTCATTTGTTAAACTACATTTAGTTTTAAAATTTAGTAAATTATTATTAGATTCGATTAATTAATACATTAATTTAGTAAGGAAAAAGCTAAACAAACCTACCATGTCCTAAATCGTGAATTTACTGTGATCAACCACATTTTTTGGAAAGCTGAACTTTGGAACTGCAGGCCTCACCTGCCTCCGTCAAGGTGTTTGTGATTTACCAACAGCAATTTTAAAATTTTACTAATGTAGTAAAACACACACACACACACGGTATAAAAATATAGGTAATAAAGACTGATTGCTGTGAACTGCCGATGCAGGGATTGGTTCCCAGGTGTAAGATAATAAATCATATCTAAACAGCACCTCTGACGTCAGTCTAAAGATTTCTTGGATTTCTATCTTGCAGAGCATTCATTATTGGCCAATATAAAATGCAAACAGTTTTACATTATCTGATGGTTTCACTGTGATTATTATAGCATTCTAAGATCTGTTCAAGATCTGTTTTGTGTTGTCATAGTGTTTTCTTTGTTCTTTGTCAGACTGTCTGTGTCTCATGTCTCTGTTCCTGTTTGCTATCCTCCAGTGTTTGATGCATCAAGTGTTTTGTGAAATTTTCAGATTCTGATTATTCTCTTGTTGTTGTTTTTTTCCTGTTTAAAAAGTTCTGGCTTGAGAATCTTTCATTTGGCCTAATTTTTGCCACACCCATAACAGGGTAGCCAAAGCAATAGGGGCCACTTCCCTCACAGCTTAATGGTAAGCTCAGTCCACCAGCTGGTAAAAGGGGAATAATTTGAGGATCCCATCCCACAGGGCAATGGAGATCATTATAGTGCAGTCATTTTCAAAATATATTTTTAGGATAGCACTCCTATTAGTTACAGCCACGAGTAGATGGAAAAACAGGCCCAGGGAGGGAGCAGGACTCTTAACGTCCATCTTGGACTATTATAACACTTGTTGGGTAGGGGTGGGTAGTGTTTGTTAATAGTCCAAATGGCCCAGGGGAAGAAGTTGTAGAAGCTGTTAGTGAGTCTGGGATGTGGGACCTGATTGGTGGAGGGTCAAACAGGTGGTAGGCGGGGTCACCTGTTTTTGTCTGAGGCAGGAGAATCTAGCGATGGACTCGGGGGTGGCAGAGGACGCACGACCTGATATTGTTGTGTTGGTGTTGTTCCCAGATCATCATACTAAATGTTGTTCCAGGATCAACATTGCAAGTGACCAATCA